TATGTATTTCAATAGAGATCATCATCTTCCTATCCTTATCCCAATTATTATTTTGGGTCGGCGTAATATGGTTTTATTCATATTACTAAAGGATTTGGCCTATAGTTTTACAACCGTTTTTTTTAGCTGAGATGAGCAGCATTCAGAAAATTTCAATTTCTACATCGCATTAATTCTATATTTCAATCTTTATTCAAAACGTTCTTTTTGTCATAACTTATGGCGCTGAGAGATGGAGATTAACTCTATAGCAGACCCATAAATTCATTGCGGAACGTATATATTTCGCAATGACTGGATGCGTGATGAGATGAATTTATGCTGCTTGAAATTATAGACAAGTTGATGGCCCGTTTGGCAGAGTGATAAACATTGCCCATAGATATAAACATCATGGATAACAAACAGTAGTGTTACCTACGCTGATAATATTTGCCCTTCCTAACAACTAAGACATTCGTATCCTATAATATAGTTACTGAAAAATAGGGTTGAGTTCGATGATCAATATGTCTTTTTAACCATAATGTCGTATATTTTTTTCCATACAATGACGATGGTGAGCAGGCATAAGAACACTAAGACATTTGTATGTTACTGTAATATTGACTTCTTTCAATTTGGGGATAAATATTGGTATTTATCTCTTGAGAAGCACATAATGTGAATTACAGTTAGATAGGAATCAAACATTGTTTTATTTTTGGGGTATCCCATTACAAAATCCTTTTGAATAAATAATGAAGATGTAATGATTAACGCGACGCGCGACAGGGACTAGTCTGTCTTTCTCTATCCTAAATAGTATTAATAATGTAAATAATATAAAATAATGTATGTAATAAAGTATCAAATATGATGATGACTAGTTGAGCTTGTAACACACCGAGAGGTAACAGACACACTTTGTAATTTATAATAGTTTATAATATTAGTAAGAATTTAATAAATTTTTAGAGATGAAATTCAGGAACTAACAAAGAGAAAGACCTAAATCAAGAACACAATATATTAGGACACTAGGAAAGACTAAGTCTAATTAATTCATTGGCTTGGACACATGCGATCACGCCGAAAACTAGCGTATATGGGTCAACCTTTGAGAAGGTCAATGGGTCAAAGATTTAAGTGACCTCAATGTATTGGCAAAAGCTTGGAACAGAGTGAAACCGCATCGTATAGTAGCGGAAGCAAAATTTTCTTTATCTGAGAAAAGTCTATTTTTTTTTAATAGCAGAAACAGCTGACAATATTTATAATATAAACTTTCGTTCTTTATTTAGCAAGCACTCTATAAAGAAATTTTCAAAATTCCTTACCTTCGTTATAAAAACCTTTATGTAAAATTTCGTTTCTTGACACATTAGTTTGTACATCGTCTGTCTACTAGAGATGAAACGGATATCCGGTAACTATTCGGTATCCGGCTTATCCGGCGGCTTTAATACTATCCGGCCGAATACCGGATAACTAGTATTCGACCGGATAGGTATTGCGTGGAATTAAAAAAATCGGGATAAAAAGTATTTTTAAGCAAATAATTATATTTGCTTTTGTGCGGGCCGCTGCCTCCGAGAGTCGGAAGGCGCGTCGGCAGGCACCGGGACGCTGATACGCCCGGACGTCGACCAAAAAGAGAAAAGACTACTCGAGAAACGAGAGTACTTTGCACGCACGAGAGTAGACGCACAAAGCACTCTCTCCCCGAAGGGACTTAGTCTTCGCCGCAGGCGCGTTGCACTGAAGGACCAGGTGTTACAGCACTACTATATATCGTCCTCAGAAGGACGATGACGAACACGATGATGGATGAAATGAAGATCGAAGGACGGAGATGGCGATGGGGCTCGATGAGATGAAATGAAACGAAGCGAATGGTTCTTCAACTATGGCGGTGAGATGAGGAGACTATTTTCGCGATTTCTTGCTGCTGTTGTTCGCTCTCTTGAGAGGTCACTGGCGCTATGATTTTTGGCCCTTTTTATATCCAACTATGGCCTCTGGCCATCGGACCAGCGGCAAACTAGTCTCCTCGCCCCCTCTATGCAATTTTATTGTACTATTTATATTTCTATGGGTTTTGACAAAGAACTTACTCTAGGTGGTGGATATACTCATCAACAACCTATCATTCTTTGTGCGTTGCGCGGCGTGCGGTTCATGAATAATTAACGATTCCGCGAGTCGCGGCTTTTATATGACCCCGCTCTCTCCCCCGCGTATATATATTTTGCAGAAAGCGGGGCATCACGTCAGTCGATCGAGAACTGCCGCGCAACGCACATTACAATGTTTCTCCCTATTTCTAGGAACTATTCTATACTATATATGTCTATTGTGTCTATTTGACGCCTATATAAGCTATTATAGGCCCTATTATTTAATTCTATTAACTATTTTCTTGTTTTTGCAGGAATTTGCCCTATTTGGGACCTATTGGCTGTACTAGCCTATGTCCTATTAGTACAGCCGTAGCTGTTTACAAGTTTTCTATGTCCTTCCTAGTCTATTTTTGTGTTGTAACACAACTATTTTCCTGGGGGAGTAAAACACCGTAAGAAAAAACCTTTATTTCTCTTTATTTAAATTATTTAATTATCATATAAAAAACACGATTAAAGTTATAAGCTATAAAATTTGTACCCATTCAAATCACTATTTCCAACCTGTTACGAGATTACGTTGGGTCAGTAGCCAATCACTATAATTATATATCAGCTATCCTTATCTATTTTTTTCTGTCTCTATCACTATTTTCTTATAAACTGTACACTATTCTATTAATCATTTAATGAAACTATAGACTATTCGAGACTATTTTACAAACACAAGTGTTATTGTTATAAACTGTTTGAAACTATCCTATCATAAAATATTAAAAATATTATAAACTATTTACAAATTCTGTTTGAGCGGTGATCCGGAACATTTTCATTTAGTTAGTCTTAGTATGACTTAAGAAATATAATTAGTTTAAAATTTTCAATCACAATAGTAAATGAATGTAATAGAAAGAAAATGAATTAATTAGTACTTAAACTGCACTAAGGGCAAATTATGGTGAATAAATACTAATTTCTCTGCATTGAGAGGTAGCAAGCGGTTTCGTTTCTCTTTATAAATAAGGACAGTTTCAGAAAAAGTCTTTCGCTGTACACGCTGCTGCAAGGTGCTGAAAGATAGATTTTGGCAAACTTTGTTAAATTTGGGTATTGTTTAACATTAGCTGCCCACCAAGAAGGGTTACGATTGTGATCAATTCGCACTGACATAGCCGGATATTCGGCCCCATGGTTGGCCGAATATCCGGATTCCGGCCTAACTGCTAACCGTTTCATCTCTACTGTCTACCAGTATCTATCAGTTTGCTAAGTTATTATGTCCTATAATTAATTTTAGCTTAAACAAATATAAAAAGCCAATTGTTGTGATATAAATTTTCGTCAATATTCCCCTAAGAAACAGAGCAGGGGTTCTTCAAAACGTGCGTAATATCTAAAGGATAAAAATGCGCGCGTGACACCTGTCGTGTTACAGGGGTTCATAAGTTAAACATGGTTTAATATTTTCAAAAAAAGATAATAAAAATAGAGTAGTAAAAAAAGGTAATAAAAATTTGTTTCGATTACAGTTTAAAAAAGTTATTTAGATTAAAACAAAATATATGCAAAAAAAAACAAGCGACGTCAATAATAAAAATGACTGTTGCCGCCTCACGAAGTTTTGTAGATAATCTACTTTGTAATAATAATACATATATATTTGAATTTAAATGTGTTCGCAAAGTCGCGAAAATAATGAGACCAATTTAGACCTTTTTTTGGATGTTGTTTCAAAATAGAACCTTAAATTACTTGATCCACTGATGTGAAATTAGCAATAGATGAAACCGATTTAAACATTAATTTTAATTTATTATCTTTTATGTATGTATAATGTTTAAAGGAACTTAGAAGACTAGGACCGAGAAGGCAGCCAAAAGGAAACAATAGATATGCGTGTCAATTTCGAATTTGGTAAATAATAATATATACCTATAAATAATATATGTAGGCTGTACTCCACTAGCATTACACATTCAGCTAGCATTGGGCTTTCTGTATCGCATTACTAACGATTCCTTTCCCCCCATTATTTAACTTATTAATCTGTTAATTTCTAAACATTTTAAACTTCATTAATAAATAACTACGTATCTAAAAAGTTATTAAAAAACTCGGTTGGTCTTTACTGAAGATTTAATATAAAAACTGCTTAGATAGGTACCTATGTTTCTACCATTTTTGTAATAGTATTAAGACTAATAAGATATATCTTTAAATAATTTTGATTGTTATTAATTAATTTTGATGCATTACCAGATAATAAAATTGAAAGTAGCTAGGCACGTTAATGAAATATTGTACGAACACATGAATGCATAGAAGTTAATATAGGTAATACTACCAAGAATTAGATATGTCTACATGTTTTAGATATATTTATAAGATATAAATACTTATAAAAATATTTTAGTTCGACGGTCGCTCTCAATGGAGCGAATTGCAAAGCTTACAATGTTGCAGTTTAAAGGTTAGTACAAGTTTACTGAATTTGTTAGATAAAGACATGATGTGTTTTATGAATTAGACATCACCTATATCTTATTTATAAAGCTTATTATAATCCGTAGAAACAAATAAGGTACTATTAATGCTGATAACTACTAAGAAACATTTTCATTTTGTAGCTGACAACATTGGCATGTGAATTGAGAACTAGGTCAAAGTGTAATAGGTATCTAAACCAAAATACCTAATAAAAGGTGAAAATAAATTTAAGAAAAAATCTAGTTCCTATCGCACATTGTCACTGCCCACGTAACGTCACGTGTCTCGTAGGCTAAAAATATAGTTTTCTATTAACAATTACTAAGAGCTGTATCTCTAAATTAATGATTGCTTACATCATCGATACACCAACTTTTGGTTATAAAAAAGAGAAAAATAAAACATAGTTACCTCCTTTAGTAGGTGTCCTGTGTGAGGAGTGTTGCGCCCGGTAACCAAGGATCATTTCATAATCGCCAGAATCACGCCTTAGTGGAAACTGAATTTCAATAATTTGGTCACAAGGTTGCATTAACTTCAAGATACCGGCTACCTTCTTTTTCTTCTCTTCGACCGAAACCCTAGACTTCATATCTTCTACTAATTTATCTTCTACTACTTGGCAGGCCCTATGGAAAAAATATTCCACCATGTCGAAGAATTTGGGATTCGCACTTGTCGGTATATCTTTAAGCCTGTCCGGAATTTCATGGCTGGCATAGGTACGGCAACAAACGTTCACAGCTGCTGGTGTGACTCGAATCAAATTATTGACTGCCTCATTTTGAATAGTATTTTTTAGAGGCGGAACTACCGATTTTGCAATGGTTTTTAAGTGTAACATTTTGACTGATTAATTAAGTACTTAGTCGGGATAGGTATCGGGTCGCCCTACAGTAAAGTTTAAATACACAAATTAAGTAGTGTAATATGATAGATTGCAGTGACGACCCGCCCCGACGGACACGGACTCACTGAATGACGGAACAAAAGGAAAATATAAAAAAGAGCTTGTCGCATGATGCCAATGCTCTTTCTCTTTCTTTGAAACGAATGAAGATAGAGTAAATCAACTGGTATGAAGTAAGCTAAGAAGCCGACTGAAATTATAATAATTTGAAAAAAAATATTATGTTGCTAAAATAATTGTGTTAATTAATCAAGCAAATATCAAGACTATGAGATAATTATAATTTATATGAATACATAATGTATCATTCCTAAGGTAGCTATGGTGCCACTTTAAAATAATATTAATTAAATAATGTTTGAAATGTTTATGACAATGGGGTCTCTAAAATTAAAATTTAATTTCCATATTATAGTGATATTTTTATTATAAGAACGAATAAATCAGAATTATTATAATTTTAGATTACGATTGCCCATAAAACATTTATTTTACGAAACTGTTCTATGATTGTACTATATTGTTGTAAGTTTATTTATAATAATAATTAGTAAGAATTTATTAAACGTAATTTATAATTTAATACTTGATTGGTGTTAAGTACTTGACGAAAACTTTCAATACTGACAAGTTGTTTTGCTTTGGCTTTGACTGATTGACATACTTTCCTTTCTCACTTCATTTTGCTAAATGCTAATTCCTCTCGTTTTGTCATTGGCGTTATTGCTATGCTCTGCCATTAACTATGTTTAGGTCGGTCGAATATACGATATACGTAAAATAAGTTATTATTGTATTTCTAGCTAAAATTAGAACTTGAAATGATTTGCATTTTTGACGTGCTCAAAGTGAGTGGCTTTTGTGTTTTTAAAACAATTTCATGGATCAAATTTAATTCATCAATACTACTCTAGTACAGTTGTAAAATAATAAACACTATAACCGGATCCAATAAAAAGTGTCTTCAGTAAGTACGTAGATATATATTTATATTAATTAAGTCTTGCTATACTACCATTTTAATCTTCATTTACATTTTAATAGATTTTTCACTTGTAGGTTCATCAGTATGACAACTTCTGAAAAAATAGAAACTTTGGATGTCATAAATAAATTACCAGATGAATTATTAATATCAATTTTCAAACTATTACCATTGGAGTCACTGCTACATTCTGAAAATGTATGTAAGCGCTGGAGAAAACTTGTTCAAGATAAGACACTATGGAAGAATATTGTTCTTGTTTATTCAGGAAAACCAGGCCAGAGCGAAGACTGTCACCGGAATATAGAAATTTTATTATCACACAGTGAATTAGTTCACTGTTTAAAATTACAATATGTATATAATTATTCTCTTTCAAAATTAATTGCAGGATATTGTGATAATCTTATTTCACTTGAACTAGTTATGTGTAGTATAAATAAATCATTTGGGGATGATATTACTAAGTGGCCTAATCTTAAGAAATTGAATTTAAAGAACTCTGTATATCATAATATGCCTGTGGAGATGGAAATTTCTTATAATAAATTTAAGTATTTAGAATACCTAGCATTGTCGGATTTTGGGTTAAGTTCTACAAATTGTAATGATTTGTTACAATGTAAATATTTAAGTCACATTCTTATTGAAAAAATTAAGAATTTGAATTTAGATTTTGTTCGAGAATTAATATGTTCCAAACAGAATATTCTTGAAACTTTACATATTTATGGAGGTGCTGCAGTTGATGACCACTGTTTGCAATTGCTATCACAATGTAGACAGTTAAAGGATTTAGCAATTACTAGATGTGAGAACTTAAAAGATGAAGGTTTAGTTGCTCTTGCAAATTTACAGCAAATTAAACATTTGCAAATTTGGAACAATAAAAACTTCACTGAAAAAAATTTGTTGAGAACTCTTAGTAGTCCCAATATAATAAAATTAGAAACTTTGAGCTTATCTAAGATAGAAAATATATCCCCAGTTATTGTGGATGTTATATCAGAATATTATAAAAATTTAAAATTTCTAGCTGTTTACCAATGTCGTAATATTGTAAATACAGATTATGAAAAACAGTTGAAATCTAAATTCAGAAATATAGATGTTGTATTATACTAAAAGTTTACCTGTGATGTTAATAGACCTGTACAGTAGTGGTTAGTGTAAAGATTATTATAAATATTTCTTAAATTATCATATGATATATATAGTCCAAAAAGAGATTATTTATTATTTATTGAAAAAAATAATAAATAATCTCACATAATTATATTATGTGAATATTTAAATAAACTATTTTTAATGTACAACAGTGTGATAATAGTAATTAATGTAAATTACAAATTTCACAATAATTAATTTTTTGTATGTTCACTATATTTTAAGTAAGTGTAGTTACTGTTGTAGTCAAAATTAAAATTAATCATTTATGTTTTAAGAAGATAATAGTACTTTAAATAATTAAGACTGTGTTCCATAAAAAAAAAAACAGTTATTTTGAATAAAAATCTAAAGTACTGTACCAATTTTGATAAAACTTCTATGGGGCCAATTTGTAAATATTACTTTTTTAAATAAAAAAAAAGAATTTTCTAAATTGGATTACAACTGACGGAGTCATGAGACAACAAATCCAAAAAATATACAACCAAATACTGAAAGTGAGCAAATGTATTACATACACTGCATAAACATTGTACTCCTTTTTTCAGCACATGTATAAAATGGGAATTAATTTAAATTTGTAATGTAAATAAGTATTTCATGTGTTTATATTATAGCTTTTAATTATAGTAATAATACTCAAAAAGAAAACTGTCAAATAAAAGTTCTATTGAGTAGAAAATAAATAGAGATTATATGTTAGAATGTGTGTATATTATAAAACTAATATAGTGTTAGAATATATGTACATATATATAATACATAAATAAAATAAAACACTCATTAAAATCCACAAAAGTATATTTATACAATGGCATTTGATTTACATGACATGAATCTTCTACATGACTTGCAGAGTTCACAGACACTGTTTTCATGCTATCAAAAGGTATGGTTAAAATTGAACAATTTTCATCAATTAATATTATGCTAACAGTGTTTATATACAATTATTGTAAAAATTAAAAAAAAAAAATTAAAAAATATTTAAAATGTGTGATTTCTTATTCTAAGGCAAAAATAGTATATACCTACTGGTCTTCTAGTTTTCAATTTTGATTGTTTACAATGTTTCTACGCTAAAATTTGGGGTTTTTCAAAAGGGGAGTAAAGAGGTTTCTTCAGGGTCGGCAACGCGCGCGTAATACCTCAGGTATTGCAGGCGTGCATAGGCTACGGTAACCGCTTACCATCAGGTGGGCCGTATGCTTGTTTGCCACCTCAGTGGTATAAAAAAAGTTTTTATTTTTATGGAAAGCAAAATTTTGTTTTGACTACAGCAAAAGCACTCTAGTATAAATTATTAAAAGACTGGACTGTTCGAGGACTTGCCTAGACTTATTTAGCTAGGATAAGAATTTGAGCGTGGTAACAATGTTTAGTAAAATTTGTAAGGTTTGTAGGTATGAGGGATGAATACAGACATTGATTTCAAATAGCTAAAATAAACTTTTTATAAAAATAATTAAGTATCTACTTACAATTCCGTGCCAATAAACTATTCAGTAAACTTATTTTGTTCTATTTTCCCAAAAATCTTTATATTTGTCTCAATTTCGATACTGTATAAACTGAAATAAATTTTTTTTCATCCAATATGGAAATTTAATTTCATAATATTAAATAGAAATTGAATGTTTTTATAATACATATATCATTCATGATTACAGTTAAATTAGTCTTAAAAAATACCGACATTTATTGTGGCAAAAATGCATATAAATCCGATAGAACGAAAACTTATTGGTTGCGATAGAATTATTAAAATTGGTTGGCAGCTAGAATGTTGTACTTATATAGCTTTTGTAATGTTGTAAACAATTTAGTACTGTGTTCCTATAAGTACATAATGGTGCCTTCGTTGTCTATCTGAATTCGCAATCAGCATTGTGAGAGTATTATTAAAGGAGTAGCCAAAAGGATATTAAAAAAATGTATATTAAATATTGTTATATCATTATATAATACATAGTGATAGTGTGTGTATAGAACATCTATAAAAATATTAAAAAAAAAAACAAATTTTCAGACAAAGTAGTTGTGAAATGGGAACAAAGAAATGTAATTATATAGTTTATTTGGGTAGTAGTGGTTTGGCATGAATATAGCCACGTGTCTCCATTTATATAAACATCTACGCAAAAAAAATTGGCACCTTCCTTTCGGAAGTAAAATCTTATAAAACGGAAGAACCTTCAGCAATTGCAACTATCATTGTCAGTATTCGTTTTAAAGGCAACTAATGTAAGATGGACTCTTAACAGAATATATAAGGAGTCTATACTGTGCTTGAAGCCAATGTAAAAGAATAAAAAAATGTGTATAAATTTTTCTAAATGCAATATACGAGGGCTACACTGAAAATTTTTAGAAAAGCAATATAATAAAAAAAAAAATTGTTAAAATTTAAAAAATGGAACTCTTTACGAATAATACTGAGTATATAATTTACTCGTTTGTCATTTGTTTTACGGTTTGGCGGCAAATTGAAAATAGTCTGTGTAACGTTATCATGAACTTAACACGAGAAAATATTCGTGCGATGATTTTTTATGACTATTGATGTCATCAAAATCAACAAGAAAGTTATGATTATTTACAACTGGTTTAATGAGTTTAAACTTAGTCGCACTAATCTCACCGATGATGTGTGTGAGGGACGGCCTTCTACGGCGACGACTGAAGATAACATCAGTGTTGTGCGGCGTGTGATAGAGACTGACAAAAGAGTGACCTATCAGCAGATCCGGGCAAGCTTAGGGATTGGTATGAGTCAAGTGCACAAAATCCTCCATGAACATTTGGCGGTTAGGAAGCTTTGGGCCTGGTGGATAACTCATAATTTGACCGAGGCTCAAAAAATCCGTGTTGATTGGTACCGTGAAATGCATGAAAGATTTAACGGAGGTGCTTCAAATTCTGTGTTTTACATAGTTACGGGAGACAAAAGCTAGATTTACTGTTATGACCCCGAAACTAAAAGACAGTCAGCTCAGTGGGTGTTTCCTTCCGAGGAGTTGCCAACTAAAGTGAAGAGGTCGGAGCGTGGGAAAAAAGATGGCCTCGTTCTTTAGGAGGACAGGTCATTACATTACAATTGTTTTAGAGGATCGAAAAACAGGTACTGCAGAGCGGTACAGTAAAAATTATAGGTCGCAGTAAGATCCTCCTTCACCACAATGCTTCGTCGCACACCGCCAAGCAAACGATCGATTATTTGGCGACCTCAGACGTAGAACTACTGGGTCATCCGCCATATAGCCCCGACCTCGCACCTTGCGATTTTTATTTATTCTGAAAAATAAAAGAAAAATTTCGAGGAAAACGTTTTATGGACGCCGAGGAAGCTGTGGCTACGTTTTAGAAGGCCGACGAAGAGATCCCTAAGGACGAGTGGGCAAAGTGCTTTTCTCAGTGGTTCTATCGGATGCAGCGATGTATTGACGTGAATGGACACTATTTTGAAAAAATGAAATAACTTGCTAATTTAATCAGTTTTTGATTTTCTAAGGACTTTCAGTTTGACCCTCGTATAAAGACAGGTACATGTAGCATTTTTTATGAATTATAACAACTGTTGGAGAAGAGTCGTCTTTATACTGTGTGGTGTGATGTGATTTATTACAAAATAAAGATACTGATATAACTGTAATTTTGATGTGAATTGCATCTTATGGATGTGAAATTTTTAGTTTAAATAGAAAACAGATAAAAGTGACGATCAATTTATGTGTATTATTTTATTAATCAAAAGATCCATACTCTATTTCATTTAACACAGTAGAAGTAAATGCCTCATACTAAAAGTACAAATGTTCAGGTCAAATTAATAGGGATCCTATTAATTTGATCTGAAATATATGGGATATGTAATGAACACGAAAACGATTTATATTGATAGTATTAACTACGAAAAGCACATACATTATAATTATATATTACTAACAAAGCAATGTATAACAATATATTGTACAGAACACAATATATATCTACATCACAAAATATTTATGTTTCGAACATATCACAGCAACCCGCACGTTTGGTTCATTACAACATTCCAATAAATCTAATGAAATGACTAACTATAGGAAAAGGATTACAGACTACAAGATCTACAATTATAAACTAATAATTATATTACAATTTATTTACAAAGAAACAACAATGTAGTTCGTAATGCCGAATTACACTACTTACATATCGTCACCTTTATGGTAAACTTACGAAACTAAAAAAGTTCAAATTAAAGTGTTTATTATAGAAAATACTATAAAAATATGCTAAGTAAGTTTACTTTGGGTATATGACAAAAATATGGAAATTCGAGCTACTCGATTTCTTTAACCGTTAGAGATAGAAATTTGAAAATAAGCCACAATAAGTAGTATGACGCAAAATGTAGATTTTTAAAGAAATGTCAAATTTGAAAAAACTGCATATTCGTACATTTGCCATAGAGGCCACATTTGCCATATATCTAAAGCTTAAGTTCAATAAATTTTGATACAATAAAATTTGTTCTATTTTACACATGTATATATTCACGTACACTGTCATATTTGGTTTACAAGGAACAAACATTCGACCAGTTAAATATAAAATTGACAGTGTATATATATTATTATATACATATATATAAAAGATTTATTGACAATAGTTACTGCGACAGGTATAGGTGCTGCTTTTAACACAAAACTATACCATGTTAAAGACTATATTTTATTACTAAAAATAAATCGTTTCGATTCAGATAGTGCCACATAATCCAATAAACAAGTTGTCTCAAGCAAACACTCAGAGTTACCTTTAGTCATGAATTATTTTTATGTGAAATAATTGATAGTAGTAATTTATTTTAAAATACTGGCGTACACACTATATTAACATTATTGTCTGTTGAAGTAATAATATATAATTTTAGCTATTTAGTATAGTCTATCACAATATTCGAATAAAAGTTATCAATCTTCATACACACTCATGGCAACTATACTTGTCCACAGTATACTCTGTCAATTGAAATAAATTACATTCTCAGTCCGAGAAACGCTGAATCGAAAATCACAATATATCTACCACTGTTACACAACATAAGTAGTGAACGATGTCTATCATCGCTTGCGGCCTCGCATGAATTGCAGTGCTTTTTGCATGAGAGGCGCTTTCTTGGGTTTAAACGAAGTGAGCGCAGGGACAGACGCAGGGGAAGGCGAGGGGGCGGGTCGCCCGCTTCCAGCGCGAATTGTGAGCGGTGTGGCCAGAGCTGCCACCCGTGCTGCTGGACTAGCAGCAGCCGCCCGTGCCGTTCCATGCAGCGCCTACATTACACACAACATTGTATGAGCGGAAAGAAGGATGTTACATCAAAAACAGGATTTACGGCTTGCAGGGCAGGGTTTTTTTTGTACATACATAAGTTTATTTACATCTCAGTCAAGAGGACGAATTCACAGTGATACCAGAGGGAGACTTTGTACAAAAGTCGATTGCTTGGGTACCTCTGTCCCATTCGTGTTTCAACCGTGAAGCAGTTGTGTTTGCATGGCTGTGTTTCGGTTTGAAGAGTGGGATATGGCGTGAATTTACTGGGTACAGAGGAATAACACCTGAGTCCTCAGGAATGGCAGCGCATGGGGGTATCATGGGCGAAACAGTATACTCTGTTATGTCCATGGTACTGCTCATGTCTATAGGCGACGGTCACCACTTTCCATCAGGTGGGCCGTCAGCTTGTTTGCCATTCTAAGTTGTATAAAAAAAAAAAAAAAAAAAAAAAAAAAAAAAAAAAAAAAAATAGCATTAAGTAATATAATTTTTTTGAGAATTTACTTAGATTTTGACAATGCACTTTTAATTTAGAGAATAATAACCAAGATTTAATAACGATACCATACCAACTTTATATTAGTTTATTAATGAACGATAACCTCAAACTTCTACTTCATTTATATTCTTTTTTACTTATCATTATATTTTGAAATTAAACTCGCACTGCTATTTGTTTAGTTTTAAGCGGTGGCCTATGTTCAGTGGTGGATAGTTAACGGATGATATGATATATTCAATAAATACAACATGACAGAATATTTTTTTTGTTTTACGTTAAGATATATAACATAAGAAATATACTCCGAACATTGTTTTAATTTATTACCTTGATTAATCTCCTAGATTTGATTAGACGTCCTTGAATAGAGAATCCATGTCTGTCTTTTTTGTTTCCGGCGACGTCTCTGAACGTTGAACGTTTTGACTATAGTGATTACTAATTTTTGAATTTTTTTACTTTATTGGAATGAAAAAATACAGGTATTAAAATACCGTATTTTCGTATTGTATGGGAATATTATCAATAAAAAGGACACATACGTTAAAAAAATAAGTACATATAGTATGTCTACGCTTTACGACCCATGCCGTGGATGTGACAGTTATGAGGCTCTCGCGCCATTTTTTGCTTGTCTTATATTTTTCTTGTCTATGGACTAATTTTCATCCTGTTAGTGTATTGTGATCTACCTATATCTAAAGAGACTCTAATAATTTTATTTATCATTTTAATATATGATCCTTAACCGATGAATATTATAGATAATAATCCCATCAGCCTAACTCTCCACTGCTGAATAAAGGCCTCTTATGGAAGTTGCCTCGCTTGCCAGGCGGGTTAGCAATTGCAGTTAGACTTTAGTGATGTTATAAGAGGGACATTGCTGCCCATGCCTTGGCCATTAAGTTCCCTTAGTTGCCTCTTAAGATACCCACGGGAATGGAAGGGGTGGCCCACTTTATGCAGGTACGACAAGTTATATAGATATATAGAAAATATACCCAAATATAAATGATGAACAACACCATAATATTCAGTGACATTTGTACTAAGTTTACATCACATATCTATATACGAGGTCTGTCCGGAAAGTTCGTATAAAAGTGTTCTGGAATGCGAGAAAGAGGAGTGGGGAGGCCAGGTAAGCGCAGGACCCCTTCCTTATGTCCCTAACAATGCTTCAGTTCTGGTCTGACCGCCGTGCGGTGCGAACTGGCTTGTCACGCCATCTGTGAAGTTACCTCTTAACGAAACCCCGTCGGCATGGAGCCCGCTTCCGTTGAAGAGCAGCGCGTCGTAATCAAGTTTCTCTCGAAACTCGGCAAGAATGGCCGTGAAATTTTTGCCGATCTCAGAACAGTTTATGGGGATGATGCTGTGAAGGAACCAACCGTCCACAAGTGGCTAAAAAGATTCAGAGAGGGCCGAGAAAGCATCAAGAATTCGTCCCTCCAGGCCAGACAGTTGATGGAAAATTCTACGTCGAAGTGCTCAGACGCCTCAAAGCTCGTGTGGCACGAGTTCGTCCAGAATTGGCGCGAGAGGGGCGTTGGATTCTTCACCACGACAATGCCCCTGCCCACACCTCTCTTGTTGTCCGTGAGTTTTTGAGTAAAAATTCCATTACGGTGACCGAACACCCCCCCTATTCGCCGGATTTGGCCCCGTGTGACTTCTTCTTGTTCCCAAAAACCAAATTGGTACTTCGGGGGCGGCATTTGGGGGACATAAATGAGATAAAAAAAGCTACGACGGGGCAGCTGAGAAACCTACAACCAGAGGACTTTCAAGGAGCCTTCTCACAGTGGAAACGGCGTTGGCACAAGTGCATTATGTCACAGGGGGAGTACTTTGAAGGGGATAAAATTGATTTACCTGAATAATTGTAAAATAAAATTTTTAAAAAACTTTTATACGTACTTTCCGGACAAACCTCGTATAAGTAGTTATCTATAGAATTTTGTATAATAATAATAATTTTCATATATAGATATATGAAAATTATTACCTGTTTACGAGCGATGTTCCGAGGTGGTTTCACAACAGTATCAACGTAAGCCATCTTTGTTTGTTTAATGGGAGCTTTCTTCGCTTCTTGTGCTATTTTAATATTGGCTGTCAAATTTTTTAATCTATGTTCTTGTTCTTCTTGGCATCGCTGAAATAATAAAAAATAATATATTTAACTTGACAAAGTTATTTTACTAAAAATAGAAGTTGGTAGAAATGGTGTAACAAAAGGTGTTTAAAATCAACAGATTTATTGTCATGAGCACTTAACATTTGTTTTTTAAGTTTATATATAAAGGTATTATTTATAAACATAGCTGTGACATTTATAGACATAGCAACAGGAGTTGTATTTATTTACATTTAAAAAATGAGTAAAGTCAACATAATAACAAATCGTTACGGCGCGATATGGACAATGTTTCAATTCATCTATTATAACTAGAGAAAATAAAGAAAAACATAAAAAAAAATCCTTTTTGGTAAAGCAGCTAGTTTTGTAATAATAATAAAAATGCCTTACAATGTACATTTCCCTCCATGTTTCCATCTCATGCCGTTGTTGTTTCCTAAAGTGCTTCTCGCAATATTTCTGCCATAGATGGTCAGTGTCTTCCATAAGATATGGATTGAAATGTTCCAGTACGAAGAGTTGCTGAGGGGTCGCCTTGTCTACGACGGGCTTCAAGAGTTCATATGGCACGCCGCCCGTGTACTCGAGGGCTAGTGACAAATAATTATTTCTATTAGTCTTGTATTTTAATACATTATTAAATAAATGATAGTCGTTTAAGTAAATTTACACATCGCTAGTCGACAATTTAGAAACTGTTTCTTTTAATTTTGTATAATTCTGAATATCTGGGTAATCTCCTAGATGTTAATTGCCTTACGTTCTCAAAACACATTGTAATTAATGTCCAGGAATTTGGTATGATTGTGTGGCACTAATAACTATGTAAGGGGAATAAAAATAAAAATACATTACCATCAATGTGTTCCTGTAGAAGATGAACACACATTTCATACAGCGTTGGAATTTTTCCCATTACTTTATTACCGGAATATACCTTAGTTCTGAAATTTTAAAGAATGTTAATAAACACAACTGAATGGTTTCATGGTATAATTTCGAGTCTTGGTGAAGAGGTCCAAGCTACTAAATAAAAATAATAATAATGCTATTCATTTTTGGATAAAGTTTTTTTTTGTATACTACAGATATACTTAGTTTTACTTTCGTATGAAATCCAATAAAAACAATAAGAAATGATTTTACCTTTGGTTTTTAGACGATATTACGGCGCTCATGGCCTCTTCATCAGTAAAATGTGGCAGAAGTTTAGGCGGCGGCCTTGGCTTGTAGTTCGGTGATATTTCTGGCAAAGCAGAAATTTCGAGAGCAGGTAGTGGTGCTAGCTTGGCATTCGGTGCCAGAAGGGCGGCCGGGCTTACATCATTAGTTATTGAATTGGGTGATTGAGTTTCTTTAACAGTTGTGGATTTCTTTTTAGGTTTTGCTGGACTTAACATTCCTAGGGCTTCAGCAAAACTAGCACCTAGAAACCAAGAGAGTAAATATTATGAATTGTATTAAAAAAAAACATTGTCGGACTAAATTTTATGATTCACTAACCTGAGCCGCAATCAATGCCGTCTTCACTATCCTCACTATTATTTACATGATTATTTTTCTTTGGTATATCTTCTTTTGACTTACTACTGCTTGACTTGCTGCTCCTGTGAGAGGACGAGGAGCTGCTAGACTTATGTTTCTCATGTTTACTTTTATTTTCACTACATTTAGATCTACTTTCATTCGAGAGTTTTTCACTTTTACTATCTGACTTTTCTTTTGAGGAACTGCTTCTATCTTTTGACTTTTCCTTACTAGAGGAACTATGTTTTTCTTTAGAACTACTACTGCTACTCTCTTTTATCTTGTGTTTATTGCTACTTTCCTTCTCTGATAAACTTTTGTGCTTATCTTTATCAGATTTGTGAGACTGACTTGAACTTCTGTGTTTATCAGATTTACTTGATTGTTTTTCCAAGTGATTCTTATGTTTAACAGATCCACTATCAGCACTTTGTGAAGAAGATCTATGCTTTTCAGAACTACTACAGTGTCTTTTTGATGATTTCTTTTCATCTTTTTGTTTCTTCTCAAGCGAACTGTGGTCTAATTTATGTTTCTTTGCAGAGCTACTTTCATTTGTATTGCTGTGCTTATGTGAAGTGTGAGATTTTTCTTGCGAAGATGACTTCTGAGAGTCATGTTTATTTTTATTTTCATTACTATGTTTCGAATCTTTATCAGAATTACGTGACTTTTTAGATGTAGACTCTTTTTTATCATCTGTGCATTTGTTGTGTGAACGTTTAGAGGATGACTTGTGGTAATCGGTGGGTTCTGATTTAATTTCTTGCTTCAATTTTACCTCTTCTTCAGATAATTGAGATATTTCAGAATCCGTTTCATCGCTGTTTGAATGATCTGTGTTAAGATCACTATCGCTTTTTGGCTCTGATTTTATTTTTACATCACATTTTCTGTCATAATAATCTTCATTAGAGGTAGAGCTTTTTTTCTTCTTCATATCATGTTCTTCATCCTAAAATTATAGTTAGGCATTTTTACAGCTAATATAAATTATTTTAATGGTACCCTAACCATCTACAGTAACTACAAAATTACAATGAAATTTTGTTAATGATTATAGATGTCTATCGTATTCACTTTAATTTTTTTTTGCTACATGTATTGTTTTTATTAAATTGATAATTTAATAAAGTAAAATTTTTTGTTCAAACAACGTATAAAAGGAAGTGGTTTCATAACACACTGATTACATCATATGTAATATTTTATAAATAATGTAAAGTTAGTGGCTATGCAGTTAGTATGTACTGCACTATCGTTTTAACTTTTTGGTTTAAATATCTATCTACCAATTTGCAATATAATTAAACTAATTAATTAGTTAAATTGTAATAGTTCAACAAACAGACATATTATTAATATTTTATAATTATTGAACGGGTGAATACTTACAGATGGATTTTGATCCACAAGACAAAATACTGACTTTAATTGTAACAAAACCAAAATCAAACTACTAAACTGATTTTGACGAAATTTCTACCAGAACTATCTGAAAGTATGTCCTTTTAGATAAAAAAATAATTATACAAATTTCTTTTTTGATGTAAGTTAAAAAGAAGACCAATGCTAGAAAATTAGGATTACGTATTATTATATAATTTTAACAATACCAACCTCACTACTTTGATATTTTCTTTTGGTTCCGCTATAGTTACCATTAACTTCTTTATTATATTTTTGGCCATCATTTTTATAATTGTAATTATTTTTTTCAAGTTGATATTCTTCACTTTTAGACTGTCTCGTATTTTCATCCGAATCTCTATGATTTCCATGTCCATTGTAAGAGGAGGCTAACAAAATAAAATTTAAATATTAAAAGGCAATATTTTGGGTGTTTATATAATGTAGTAGAAAATGTTAGTACATAACTGGTGGAATCTTACTATCCGTAAAATAATATAAATATAGTAAATAAATTAATTATGAATAGACTATGTTAAGATATTAAAATAATAGACAATTTCAAATGTTTATTATAAACTCACTATCATTATTGTGATCTATTTCTTGGTCACTTTCCTCAGCAGCGACCATACACTTCCATTTATAGATCAGAGCTCGAGAGGCTTTTCCTACATCACCTGGATGTTTCCGCAGTGCATTCACTGTACGTCCGACTCCTGTGTCTTGCAGATGTTGAACAGTGACATCAAGGTTGAATAACTTATCAATACATTTTAAAATCTGCAACAATAGTAGTAGAGGGATTCACGAAATGTATTAGTCGCTAGTATAAATATATTACTATATGTTTTACATATATATAATATTTAGTAACATTTTTTAAATATTGATATATAATATTTATTTATGTTCTAGTAACATTGTAGATTCTCAGATAAAAAGGTAGAAATATCACATACAAATATAATAATAATTGTTCGCGACATTATTTGTATATATCGTAATTTATAGTTGTTAAGTCCCTAGTTAATCGTTTCTGTATTCTGTTATTTTATATAGATTTACATAGATTTAAGATAGTGTAAGTTAAATAAAGTATTCCTTTGCGTGTTGTCGTTATTACCTACGAATAGAAATTGTAACAATAAATAGAATTAAGAAATTGTAAATTGAAATAAAATAAATAAATAGACGCTATAGAGTATCTGAAGAGACACGCGTCTCGTTCATTTCGCCCCGTCCCGCTCGCACAGATCGCTATCGCGAGTTGGAAACGTTATCGTGCGAGCGGGCGGGTATAAAGATAGGCCGCCTCCCGTCGAGCGGCATTCCGGAGGAGCGGCATTCCGCGGAGCCGCTGCCGACCATCGCCGCAGGAGATTGGAACTGTAAACACACGGCTTGGAACTCCAACATAATCAGCGCCGAAGGCAGAAAACTCCTGGGGATAGTAGAGAAACTGAATATCGCTGTGCATGGTCCAGAGGTACCTACACACTATCCCCACGACGCCGCAAGAATACCCGACGTGCTCGACATAGCCCTCTACAAGGGACTGGACAGCCAACTGACGCAGGAAGTCCTCTTGGAGGACGTCCAATCCGACCACCTTCCCGTGTGCATAGATATCCTGATGACCCCGGTGCTCCTGACGCCGCAGCCCCCGCGCCGCCGGACGGATTGGGGGAAATTCACGGACTTCATGCAGGACAACACGCCAACGAGGGCAATTTTAACCTCCGCCGACGTCGAACAGCTTGCGGGAGACCTGTCAGTCTCCATACAGGCCGCCATGCAAAACGCATCTCAGCCGGGAAAGGTAGCGAAAACAACCAATACCATCCCGGCTGCAATAAAGAGGAAGCTCGCCGTTAAGCGCCGACTGCGCAGAGACTGGCAGGCCACCAGATGCCCCACCACCAAAACGAGGTTAAACAAGCTTGCAGAAGAAATAAAGCGTGACATCGAGTCCCATAGAAAGGAGAGTTGGGAAAGATACGTAGAGGAAGCCGGTGACGACTGGAACAGCATTCATCGCCTGTGTCGCCGGCTAACAAATTCCCATCCCCCAGTCCGACCCCTACTGGCGAACGACGGAACACCGAGGTACCGCGCAGTAGACCGAGCGGAGATTCACGCGGATCACCTAGAGCGCCAGTTCCAGCTCAATCCATCCTCAAATAGTGATCATGTTGCACGGATAGACAACTTCGTGAAGGAGTACCTATCATCGCCACTATCACCTCACGAAGATCCGATTGTCTTTACACCGGGACAAGTGCAGCGTGAAATCAGAAAGACGAAGCCTCGGATAGCCCCCGGCAGCGACAACATCCCAAATACGGCGCTGCGTCACCTGCCGCCGCGCACTATAGCGGCACTGACGCGCCTGTACAATGGAATAGTACGCACAGGGCATTTCCCAGACCACTGGAAGATAGGCAAAGTCATCACGCTGCCTATAAGAACGTACTGAAACCGGAATCGTACCGGCCAGTGACGTTACTGCAACACATGTCAAAGGTGTTTGAGAAACTCCTCCTCAAACATCTACAACCACACTTAAAACCACGCCTGGAGCAGTTTGGATTTAGAAACACTCCACGACACTGCAACTGACCAGAGTCCTGCACGTCATAACGAGCGCCCACAATAAGCACGAGCACGTTATTGCAGTGTTACTGGACATGGAGAAAGCCTTCGACCGCGTGTGGCACAACGGTCTACTGTATAAAATGGCCACTCAGACCGATACACCAAGAAGGTTGGTCCGAATAGTGGCCTCATTCCTCCACTCAAGACGCTTCATGGTGACGGTGGAACAAACCTGTTCGGGAGAGCGACCCATCCGCGCGGGTGTACCACAGGAAGCTGCCTATCGCCTGCGCTCTACGCGCTGTTCACCGACGACATTCCCACTACCCCGAGTCTCTCCTCGCGCTGTACGCCGACGACGCCGCCTTCATAGTGACATCCATCGGCAAGAAGCACGCAGCGCTGAAAATGCAGCGGCAACTCGACACCCTACCAAAGTGGCTGGACGACTGGAGATTGTCGGTGAATGTGCGCAAAACGCAGGCGATCTACTTCGGACAACGTCACTGCCCTCCCAAATTGCACCTGCGCGACTCCCCGATCGAGTGGTCTACCACCGTCACCTACCTGGGGGTGAACATCGACCGGCGTCTAAGTTTCAACACCCACATCAAGGGGGTCTGCAACAAGACCAGGGTGGCCAGGCACCTCCTTCGCCCAGCGTTGACAGGAAGACTCCCTCTCCAAATAAAGACGGCCATTTACAAAACCTACATCCGACCGCGACTTACGTACGCAGCGCCGGCATGGTATGTCTACGCGTCTGCGTCGAATAAGAAGAAACTCAGCGCGCAACAACACCTTACACTGCGCACCATCGCCGGCGCGCATAAATACGTAAGGAACGCCACCTTGGAGAGGGACCTAAAGATCCCTCCGCTGAACGAATTCATCGGCAGCCTCGCAACGAAGATGTTCGCGCGTGCGGACGCATCGGGCTGGGACCACCTAAAGGGAATAGCGCCCCTGCACGCGCGACCTCCGGACCACAAGCCCTACGCACGCGAACTAATAGCTCGCGTGCAAGAAAACCCAGAGGAAGACGCCATGGACACATGAAGACCCCTCCCCCCTCTGATGAGGGTTGAAAATGCCGTCCCGATCATTCAAACGCTGGCAGTTTGCTGGGCCTCCCCCCACGGGGTCTCACCCGGCAGGCGAAGACCGCGCAGAGTGAACGGGGCGGCACGTTAAGAACCAGGTTCACCCCAACGACCCGCTCATATTAATGAGCGGCGGATAGAGACCACCTGAGAGGGGTAAAAAACCCCGGACAGGTTTCCCCGGCTCCCCCTAGGGGAGAGCATGAGAAGAAGACGGACTCGAGCGGCATTCGCTTCCGGGCAGCGACGCACTACACTCGAGAAGAAATAGGACAAGAAGAAAAAATACTCTCTTCAGACGGTACCGGAGGCTTCAGAATAGTAATCGCTGTGTTTCACTCCAGCCTGAACCAACGCCCCTACAGTCCACGCTCAACGAACGGCAGTCCACACCGTTCATCGTGGTCCTTCGAGAAGCCGGATTGCTGGAGGAACACCGTTGGTACATCGAGAAGCCGGATCGCTGGAGGAAGACCATTCTGAAGCCGGATCGCTGAAATGCCGACTACGAGAAACATGAAGTCGTCGCAACAAAAAATCGCCGTCACCGAAGCCACAACGTCCGCCGCCACCACGTCGACTACGGCCGCCGGAACGCTGTCCGTCGCTGCCACGCCGTCCGTTGCTGCCACCACGTCGTCTGCGGCTGTCAGAATGCCTTCTGTCGCTGCCACGTTCTACCGCCGCCACCACATCGACTACGAACACGTCCGGCGATACGACGACCACAGGAGCCACGGAGACTACCGAAGCCACAGGAACGACAGAGGAGACAGCAAGGAAGAAGGAACCGAAGCACGGCACGGCACGCACGGTTCGCACCACGGCCTCGCAGAAGAAGAAGGCTCTGGCCAAGGCACGGGAGGAGCTACTTCGAAAGGAGGTGGAATTGGCCGCCGCACGTGTCGCCGCCCTGGAAGCCGAATCAGAGGACGACGAGGAAGTAGAAGACGACGACGCTACCGTCAGAAGAGAACGAACGTCGGATTGGGTTCATCGAAGCACGCTGGCACTCACGATGGAGCCGCATGTACCAGAGATAGAAGAAGTCACCGGCAAGCGTCAGGGGTTCGTCCCATCGAGACCCGTTGAAGAGGATTCGAGAGCGCCGCCGCCACAGCCGAGCAGCGACGCACTTCACCGGGACCACGCACGCCACGTTGACCCACATGCCGCGATTCCTACGATAGCAGCAGCGATGCAGTCGATGAAGAAAGAAGAACCGGTGCTGAAGGTGGGCATCGATTGTAATGAGTTTGCGATCGCCATGCAGATGGCCGCTCGCAACATACTGCCCTCCACAGCGTCAAGAGTCACCGAGTTGCCAGTCTTCAATGGATCGTCGAGCGAGTGGTTACCATGGAAGATGGCCTATGAAGAGAGCGCAAGTCAACTCACAGAACAAGAGAACCTAGCAAGACTGCGCAGAAGCTTGAAGGGGGCCGCAAAGGACGCGGCACGCTCCCTATTCGTCGGGTCTACGACCGCAGAAGAAGTAATGAAGATGTTAGCCGCGAGGTTCGGCCGCCCTGGAGCACTCGTCACAGCCGAACTGAACAAACTCCGCGCGCTACCACGACTCTCGGACAACGCAAGAGACGTCTGCCTCTTCGCAAGCAAGGTGCAGAACGTCGTCGCCACGATACGAGCGCTGAACAAGAGTCACTACCTATACAACGAAGAAATAGTGAGAAACGTCACAGAGAAGATGCCGTCGGTACTACGCTTCAAGTACTACGATTTCGCCAACGACCAACCGGAGGGACAACCGGACCTCATAACACTCTCTCAGTTCCTGCAAAGGACCGCCGCACGATGTGGAAACTTCGCCCCCGCCGAGGAGATACCGTCCGAAGACCGGCGGGAGTCCGCTCCTAGGAAGACGGCGAAGACATACACGACGCAGGAGAAACCCGCTACACCACCGTGCCCGATGTGTCGACGAGAGGGACACGCTCCATCGGACTGCAAGACGATGAAGGAAGCAGACACATCGGCGAGATGGGAGTTAGCGAAGACTCATAGGCTGTGTTTCCGTTGCCTCAAAGTGAGAAGATTTCGCCACGCCTGCAAGAGCAAGAG